ATATTACATAAATGCTAGCTATTATCATTATCCATGGTCACACAACTTGCAAGCCTGGAAAACAAGATTTGAACGCAGGTCTGTCAGACTCCAAGTCCAGCATTCTATCCACTATTACACCACCTATGTATGTAATAGAAAGACAGCACATTATTTGTTCATTTGCCAGATAGACAACTGATATATCCCCTATCTGGCATTATTCTTTCATCATAATGTGCTTCTTAGGTTTTAAAAATGGCTACAAAACACTACGTATTTATATCAGGCTTGGAATTCAGGAGATCTACATTTTAATCTCTGGCCTGCTATGAAATCCCTGTGCAAGCTTTGGGGAACCACATTTCTGATCGACCCCCTGGTTTTTTCCTCTATAAAATATGAACAATTATAACCACCTACCTGGCAAGTATGTGTAATGAAATTAGATAACATCTGTAAAGTGCCTTGGAGGGCAGTACTTTATCATCATTGTCTACTTGATTAATCTTAAAATAATTGCAGTTAGGGGCATTTTGTAGATTTTTTTTTCCATCCTTTATCAGATCTGCTTCTGCCAGCCCTGGGAACAGAACAAGAACAAAGCAAACACACCTGAAAGCCTTCCTATTTTCTTTCTTACAATCAGAGATTTTAGAGCTATCAGGGACATTAGAGATTATGCTGTCCGATCCTTTTGGGTTTAGTTTTTTTCTTTGATACCAAATTCACACTGGGTCAGATTTCACTCATAGTGGCAGCAGCAGGAAGATGAGGTTGCATTTTGGATTTGCTTCATTCCATCTCTGTCATTCAGTCATGCCATCAACTGCAAAGACAGAATTCTTCCATCTCAGTGCCCTACACTAGCACCATTAACACCTACTTCAACTGACTCCCACCAACTCCTCTCCATCACACTTATTTTCTATTCCTCTTTCCTTCCTCTGCTTCATATAAATGGACACAGCAGCTTGCAAAAAAAAAAAACCTATAGTTTCTTGTTTGTTTTGTTTTTGCTAGTGAATGGGGTTAAGTGACATGCCCAGGGTCACTCAGCTAGTGCTATGTGTCTGAAGCTGGAGTTAAACCCACATTCTCCTGACTCCAAGGCCAGTGCTTTATCTACTGTGCCACCTAGCTAACCCCTGATTATTGTTTCTTAATAGCGGTGTTAACTCATTATTAACAAACCTTAATGTGCTAGGAAGATGGGGAGTTGGGGAGGGGGGATGGTAGAAACACTATGGACACTTTCCTAGCCACTTGGCTCTGTTCTCCTCTGTTCTCTGTTCCTGCCCTTGTAACATTGTCTCACCTAAATCTGTGTTTTCATGGAAGCTTTCATTAGACAGAGGACACTTGCCATAAATGCCTTTTGGGTCTGGGACCAAGGGGTGTGCCAGTAAATGTTTAACAATTTTAGGTTTGGGATAGGATATTCAAGACACTTTTCAATTTAATTTGAATTATTAACACTTTCTTAAGTCTAGACAATCAACAAAGCAATAAATCAAGCCATGATTATTTGCCAATTGCTGAGGTGTAAATGCTCACACTGAAAATTAAACGATCTGTTCTTGGAAAAAGGTTCTAGCTGGCTCCAACATACCACTGGATAGGACTCTGATGTCTGCAGCACAATATAGCTTTTAAAAGACCTGGGTTCAAGCTGCACTGCTTACTAGCTATATGATGTTAGATGTCACTTAACCTTGCTCAGTTGATTTGGAAAGAATATGTATACTACCCACCTCACAACGTGAGAATCAAATAAGATGATTTAATTAAACTCAAAAAAATAAGTTCCTACTGTGTGCATGTCCTTGTGCCAATTCTGGGGGCACAAAGCAGAAAAACGATGCAGTCCCTAACCTCAAGGAGCTTATACACTACCAAGTGAGATATGCCATGTACACGCAATCGAGCATGATGCAAAGTAAAACATGATAGTGGAAAAGGAGAGATCCAACCTAAGTGCTCTAGGAAAAACTGGGGAGGGAGAGATCACTTTCAGTGGCTGAGATCAGGGAAGGAATCATTGAGGATGTGGCACCTGACCTGAGCCTTGAAAGAAGAGAAGGATTTTACTAGCCAGAGAACAAGAGGGAGTGCATTCCAGGTGAATGCACAAACGCAGGAGACAGCAGGATAAGATCCAGGAAGAGCTGTCTGTGCACTGGGACTGGAACATAGAGTACTGAAAGAGCCCAATTTGAAATAAGGCTAGAAAGGTAGGCAGGAGTCAGACTGTGTGTGGATGACCTTAAATGTTTTTTATCCTGCAGGAAACAAAAGTTTATGAAGAGGAATGTGTGCTTCTTATTTGTAAAGTCCTATATAAATCTAGACTTAATTTTTCCTGTTATTTATTGGTAGGCATCTATGTCAATGTATTTCTGTGAAGGACAAAAGATTTAAGAACATAAGAATTGTAATCAGATAATTAGATAAATTTAATAATCCACCTGTCCCATGTTCTATCTCTGAAAGTGACATCAAAGAACATTGGTCATTTTCTATAGCCCTTTGTAGGAGTTTTGGTGGCAGCAAAAGCTTAGGGATGTACTTCCGAAAAATATTGCTATTTATTTTTAATGACCCAGGAACTTGCCTGACTTTTAGGTACTAGCTGTTGTGACTACAGCAAGTCTTTTAACCTCACATAACCTCAGTCTGTTCATCTGTAACAGGAGGGCAATAGTATTTTCACTACATAAGGTGGTTGGGGGGGAAGTGCTCTGCATATCTTAAAGCATTTTATAAATGTGAATTGTTGTTCCTATTAGTTAAACTCTGCAAGGCCTAAAGACCTAGGAGACCACACTAACACCACTGTCACCACAACCACTCCAGCAGAATGTAATTGACCTGAGAGCAGGACATAGTGCTTCACAGATAAGTAGGTGATTAATAAATGCTTGTTGAATCTGAATTAAATTGGACTTATATATTTGGCAAGTGTTCTCAGAATAAGTAAAATATTTCATAAAGAAAGTATTTTTAATTGAATCATTTGGATGGTAGATTTAGACCTAAAAAGGAATTCAGGGGTCCACTATTCCTACTGTTCATTTTACAGATGAGTCAGTCAAAAAGCACTTATTAAGTTCCTTCTATGTGACAGGCATTGTCCTAAGCAATGGGGGTATTAAAAAAAAAAAAAGCAAAAGACAGTCCCTACTCTCAAGTTTAATGAGAAATTGAGGCACAAGGAGGTTGCAATTTGGCCAAGATCACACAGGTATTAAGGGGCAGAGAGCCAGGATTTTAGATCCTTGGATTCCAGAACTAGGCCTCTTTTCACTGAGTTTACCTATGACACATATATGTAAGAACAAATTTCCTTCTAAAGATGTTAAATCAGTGGATGAGGAGGCGGAATTAAAACTTCCACTGTACATTGAAACATTGGTTTCCTATAATCTTTGCTATTTCATAATTATTTTTTCCTTTCTGCCCTGATATAAGTTGTATACTGCTAAATTTTATCTTTTTCCTCCTTTCAGAAAAGAAAATTAAGTTCCTCCTCCCCCAAAAAAATGCCACATTTCTAACCAGTTAGAAACACACCCTTTTAAAGTGGAAATTTGCATCCCCACACTAATTATATCTGGACCTGATTGTCTCCAACCTATCTCCCAGGATAAGGATGAGCACCATATGTGGCAACACCAAATTCTATATCAGAATATTATGATTGCCACTTTCAATGTTGGGATTTGTATAGGCTCAAAATTTATGAAGGAACAATGGAATTCAGGCTACTCTCTGCCTTGAAAAAATGTCTGATTTGATCGACCTCATTCTCTAAAAAGTATTTCTTCGGTTTTGGTTATAAGAAAAAAAAACAGGCAAATTTGTTACAGATTTTAATGTAATGTAGATGCATCCTGTGCTTTCCCAGCACTATTTTTTGTGTTTGGGCCTCTTTTTTTAATTGTCTATAAAGCTACCATTATTGGGTCCACCTAGAAATGGTTTTCATATTCTAAGATCCTGTTTTAGAGATGGAATTCTACTTTTGGGTAGTGAGAGATTTTTTTTTAAGCCTCAGTCCACATTTGAAATTTCTCTTTGTGTCTATCTCTCCTTCCAGGTTGCTCTAGCCTTCCTTCCATCCCTCTCTTCCTTTCCTCTCTGTCCTCTCCTTTCTTCTCGGACATTATTGCCTTTTCCTCTCATGCTGACTGTAGTTGTCATCATTTTCATGTCTGGATTTGATTCCAGTCTTCTCTTTCTCTCACCCTTCCGTCCCCCAAACCCACAGCTTCCTTTCGCTGCTTTTTCATCTGTCTTCAAGTTCTCTCAAGACGAGACCCCAGACAACTCCCTCACGGGCTCACCTTGCTCCCCACCCTTTGGCCACCTCCTCCTCCTCCTTTCACTCTCCAGCTTGGCCCACAGAGGAGACGAGGACACCTGTCCCATCTTCTTCTACTCCTTTTTCCCCCCCTTTCCCCTTTCCTATCCTCCTCCCTTCTCTTCCTCCTCCTCCTTTCAGTCCTCCTACACCTCCCCCAAGCCCTCCCCTTCCCCGCCTCCTCCCTCCCACTTGGCTCCAGCCGGGGAGAGAGAGCCAGAGAGCTAGAGAGATAGACACATACACACAGACACACTCACGCACACATACACACACACGCATACGCACACTCAGACTCCCGGCGGCGGCGACAGCGACAGCGGCTGCGACTCCTACAGCTGTGCACCCCCCGCCAGGCGGGCGGCGGCCCCGCGGAGACGGAAGGGCAGGCAGACTAGGAGCCGGAGCCAGGAGGCTAGAGGGAGCAGGGAGAGCTCCGGCCCCAGTCCGGGCCCCGGGCCCCCGGAGGAGACAGCAGCCGCGGGGAGGGGGCCGCGCTCCACTCAGAGCTCCAGGGTTGAAAGGGGGTGCTGGTGCGGGGGCAGGGTGGGGAGCAACCGCTGTCCCCTGATTCCTCCACTGGCGGCGGCGTCAGCAGCAGCAGCAGCAGCAGAGGCAGGCGCCACCAGCTAGGTGACACTGCGGTCCATGGAAGGAGCTCCCCTGCGAGCTCCCAGCGGCTGCAGCGGCGGCGACAGCGGCGGCGGCAGCATCTCTGCAGGTCCGGGGACAGCAGCGCGAGGTAAAAGTCCGGGCAGCGAGCTACCGGGAGAGCAGGGATGGACGAAGGGGGGAAGGCAGTGCTTGGAGGCACCGAGCTATGTAGAGAACCACATACATACACATACACCCACACAATCACCCACTCTCTCTCCCCCCCGGCCCCCTCCCCCCTCACACAACATACACCAGAGCGCGGATGCGTTGTGTAGCTGTCACACCTACGGTAGCAGTAGCTATATCCATCCAAGTGGTAGCGTGGTGGAAGGCAGGTAGGGAGGGGGTCCAAGTCCGGGAAGAGATCAATCATAGTGGTGCTGGGCCGGGGTGGGGGGAAGGGGATGGAGAGAGGTTATGCTGGGTCGTGTTAGTTGGTTTTTGTTGTTTGGGGATGGGAGGTGGGGAGAGAAAAGAGAAAGGGGAAGAGTTGAGAAGGAAAGGAGATGGTTACAAGATACTGATACCGAAAGCAACGGGCCCGGGGCGGGGGAAGGGGGGCGAAATCAGAGGAGGTGGGGTTTGGAGGGGCATACGTGAAGAGGCAAACTGATCATAGTGAGGAGGTGCCGGTTAGGCTATTTACGGGGCAGGATTGGGGTACGCTAGTGCTTGGAGTCGTTGATGGTGCTATTGAGAAAGAAAAGGCAGCGGTGATTTAGGGGAGGAAATGTAGGGTGGGGAGTGGGTTGTCCTGTCATTTCTTAGAAGGTAACGTTAAAAGACCGACAGCGAGAATAGGGTGGGTACTTCGCAGGTTGTCTCTACTGACAGGTCGGCCCTCCAAAGGAGTGTGATGCTTGCTGGGGACTTAGGAATAGCCAACGTTCTGTTGGAACTGAAAGGCGGCTTTGTAGGGGGCTGCAGGGTGGGGCGGGGCGGGGCAGGGGTAGGAAAGTGATTTTTTTTGTGTGTGTGTAGTCATTTTGGGCAGATACTGAGCTAGAGGATTGGAGCAGGAGGCGGGTGGTAGGGCAGATGCAGCAGCGTTGGGAGTGAGTCATTAGTAATAAAATTGCGTTTGGGAAAAGAGATTGTGGAGCTGCAGCTTTTTTTGCCCCAACCGGAAGAAAATGATGCCTTCCAGGCTCCTTCAAAAAATGGATTCTATTGACGTATATCATGCCGCACTGGAAAGCTTGGTTGAAACTTGGATTCTGCCAAATCCCTCTTTGTGACTTTTTGCTAACACATAGAATCGCATACCTAGTCATAGGCCAAATCGCCCGATCTATGCTTATCATCCCCCTACCTTATCCCCAGATACAAACGTGATCTCTTGCCCAGGCACAAAATGCGTAGAGCTGAGACATACAGAATTTTGGGGTAACAGGGTTTCCCAGTTTGGGCTGTCTGCCATGTTCAGGGCTCAACAGCTTTACCGTTCCTTGAATTTGGATGCATTTCAGTTGTGCCTTTGATATGTCTTTTCCAGCCGAAGGAGTTAATTTCGTTTGTGTAGAGGTTTGTTTGTGGGGAAGGAGGAGAGAGAAGGTTGGGGGTTTTTTGGGGGGGTGTATTTGTGTGTGCGTGTTTTTCTTTTAAATCATGACTATTGTTCCACCGGTGCCGAAAGAGGTTTGCATGGTTAGTGAAATGAAATCCCATCACAGTTGCTGTTTAGGGTTAGAAATGTTGCCAAACAGCTGCTGCTTTGTGTTTCAATTGTGGCTATCCATGGAGTAGATTTTGGAGAGAGAGAGAGGGAGGGAGAGAGAGAGAGAGAGAGAGAGAGAGAGAGAGAGAGAGAGAGAGAGAGAGAGAGAGAGAGAGAGAGAGAGAGAGAGAGAGAGAGAGAGAGAAAGAGAGAGAGAGAAGAGAGAGAGAGAGAGAGAGAGAGAGAGAGAGAGAGAGAGAGAGAGAGAGAGAGAGAGGAGAGAGAGAGGAGAGAGAGGAGAGAGAGGAGAGAGAGAGAGAGAGAGAGAGAGAGAGAGAGAGAGAGAGAGAGAGAGAGAGAGAAGGTGTGTGGTGGAAAGGATTGTCACCCCGTGCATGGCACATATTTGGTCTCCCTCTGCAGCCTGCCAAACTTTTATGAATATTCCTTTTGTAGGAATGAAAAGCTTAATTGATTCAGTACACTTTCCAAGTGAGCAAGCATCTTTGCATTAACAATGGCTTAAGAACTTCAATCAAAAAGGGAGGGGGATGTGGTAAAAAATGAACAACATGGTTAATCATTATTAATTTTTATTAATTTATTAATAACTACCAGTCCCTACTGTATTTAGCTGTTTCTTCCAAAGTCAGGTAGAAGAAATGCATACAGAACCAGGCTGTATTTGCAGCAAAACCTAGGAATTTGTTGTCTCCATGGCAAAGATTTCTGGGAATGGAAATTTTCACCTCTCCTCTTTGTAATGGACCCAATGATTGCTTGCTCTGAACTAGGCAATCAAGGCTTATGGGCTGCTGCGTCAGTGCTCAGCGTCCTGAGCTCACATTATCTGGCATTTTAAAGTATGTGTAAATATTTTGCTGAAGATAAGCTACGTCAACAAAAAATACCCGGTGGAGACTGAGAGTGCAGTGATGGTAAATAGATATGACCAAGCAAAGTTTTGATAACTACTTATTCTCATGACCCTTTCTATTTCATTTTTCTTTGTTTTTGTTGTTTTAACATTATCTCACATCCTCTGGTATCATCCCCTTATTTAGCTGATTCTTGAAAGCTTATCTTTGGAACATGATGAAAAAATAGCCAGCAGGAAGAAAATCATTCTTAGCCTTTTCTATCATATATACTTCCCCTACATTTGAAGATCAATTTAAGTGCCTTCATATTCAGTATCTCCTATGATCTCTATAACAATCCTAGGAAGGACAGGTTATTATCTATATTTTACAGGTAACAAAAAACTGAGGCTCAAGAGGTTATAAGGACTTGTTCAAGATCTCATGGCTAGTTGATTATAACCAAGCCTTCTCAATCCTGCTTTTTTGCTGCTTGCACTACAGCACACTTCCTCTTCAGTTAAGTCATTTTGATATGTTTAAAAATAGAGTAATAAATGTATCTTTGTTACATCAGAGGAGAGCCATCTTTTATAGCTTATGTAATAAGGAGAAGGAAGGAATGAGAGACAGAGAAAGAAAGGGGGAGAGAGGGAGGGAGAGAGAAAGGGAGGGAATAATTTGTGTATGTAATGAAAATACTTTTTATCTTATCTCTTTCTTTAATGTTTTCTTTTCAAGTGTGAATGTATGGAGTTCTGACACTGTGGGGAACTGACAATGTTGCTGAAATCACAGAATGAGGCATATTAAGTGCCAGTTTCCTTACCCCACTGTAACAATGAACTTCCAGTCCTCTCCTGGGAATGTGCTTTAGAGCAGGTTGGCAGTTTTTTGGTTGCTTTGCAATATAGGCAGATGTCCACTAGGGGCTTCATTGAGACAGTTAAGTCCCATCTTGCATGTGGCCAAAGGCAGACTGGAATACTAGGGGAAGGGCAGCAATAAAACTGACTGACTCAAGGTGCCATTTTGCACCCAACCACAGCACCCTTTTTTATGCAAAGAAGCCACAGATTTCCAAGAGTTTTGTCAGGCTGGAAAGCCCAGTACCAGGAACAAAGAAGAAGATAATTTTCTAGGGCATGCTATTTGCAATAAGAGAATGAGAGATTGGAAAATACAGTTTGTGTTTATACTCACATGTAAGTTCTGAAAACAGTCACATTGGTCATTTGCCAGTTGCAGAAAAAATTGCATGACCTTACATGACAAGGGGGAAGACAGAGTAATATCAAATGGAATAATGACTGTAAACTGCTTTGTAAATCATAAACTGCTATGTGAGTATGAGCTATCATTATTATTGGTAGTATAATATCAGGAGATAGTCATTAAAATGCCTTGAAGTCCCTGGACAACTTGATGTAGTGGAAAATGGGCTGAATTTGAAGTTAGAAATATAAACACCTGCTCTGTCCCTTACTATCAGTATGACCTTGAGCAATTGTATTCTTCTCTCTGGGCTACAGTTTCTTCATTTATAAATGAGGCAGTTGAATTAGTTGACCAGTGAGGTCCTTTTTAACTCTAAATTTATTGAGCCATTGTGATTAGAACCGAATGTCATATCTGCTTTACAATGCAGTTAAAAAAATAAAACCTCTGTCTCTATAATTGTCAAGTGACTAGATGGCTGAAGTAGGAAATAGTGAGCGTCTTTTACCTTTCACCTTTTACCTTTAGGATAGAGATTAAAGAAGTCAGGCCAACCGAGAGCAATAGAGAATTCTGATATTGTCTCGATGACCAGAGTAGAAAAACAGTCCCACCCCACTCCCTTGGTAGGAGATTTATCAAGAAAGACATGTTTCCCTGAAAGGGAAGATGCCTTAAGTAGGCTTTTGCTTTCCGGCTCCTCCCCCATTTGCAGGATCTGGCCAAATATGTAGATTTTAATACAGCAGATAACTTTCCAATAGCCTGTCCAAATCCCAGTCTTTGCTGAAATTAGTTTAAAGAGGTGACATTCCCTCTCTATTTCCTCAAGCTGTCACTTTTTTTCCCCAGTGAGAGCATAGTTTCTGATCATTCAGCAAAAGAATATACTTGACTTAAAATAAAATTTCAGTTGGCTGATTTGAGATACTTTTGCCACATGGGAAGGCTAAGAATATGTTTCATTCAATTCTTCTTACGTTGAATAAAATCCAGATATGTTAGTTGGATATATTGTTATGTCAGATGATTGTGAATTACTTTCATAGGACCTTCAAGCTAGAAAGTATCTTAGAAATTATCTAGATCACTGTTTCCCAAATTGTATTTCCTAGGTCTCTGGTGTTCTGCACAGTGTTAATGGAATTTCCTTGAGAAAATGTCTGTGTTCGTACTATTCCTTCCTTAAGAAAAAAAATGAAAGATGAAATTACTTATTTATCAAAAGTGTTTATTGTGACATCAGTTTTATTTGGCTTAATTCTTTCCCTCTTATTCCAGAATATCCCTGATTCCTACTCCCTTTTTTGAGCCAGCTAATTACAAGATCTGTCGATATATTTTAAGCCA